ATTTTTGTTTCCCAAATAAAATTGTGTGTGTATACGTGCATGTGTATACAGTGTCAATGTGATTAAAGATAGTTCAGTTTAGTAAATTGCAAAATTATCTACCATATTATTTTTTGTTAATTTCAATTATGTGTAGCATGTGTTTTTTATTTTAATAATTTGCAGAACAGATTGGAGGATTTAAACCATTTCTTAATTATTAATACAGCTTCACAAAAAAACTTTAAAACCTAATGTTTATGTATGTACCTCTTTTGAGGATTCACACCTTTACACACAAGTAGTTTTATGTTTGACAATAAGTGAAAAGAACACACTGTAGCACAGAAATACGTAAGTACAGAGTAACAATAAGAAAAGAATGTTGCAGGTTGTTCTTTTCAGTTACTATTGTATAAACATGAAATGGTACTTTTATGCTGTAAACCCCATAAAAACATTTATTAAAAAAAAGGCATGTTCTACATCAGGTTTTAAGTAAATTATAATATTTGGTAAGAGTTGTATTGGTTATCATTTTGAGATGTGTAGCCTGGTTTATCGTTAACAAAAGTGCTTAAGAGAAATTAAATGTTTTTTGTTTTTAATAAGTCTGTTTTTAAAATGGCTTAAGTAATATTACAACTTTAAAATTACCATACCTATATTTTAGGAATTTGGCTTACTTGATCACATATACACGAGCAGAAACAGCTTTGCAACAAATGAGATTTTAGTGAGGGGGTTCTTACAAATGCACTTGTAATTTTTTGAGGTGTGACAAATCTTGTATTGAAACAAGTGTTTTGACTGGAGTATCACACTGCCTGGGAATCTGTTTTGAGCTAATGCAAAATATAGCTTCTAGAACCTGAGATATTAAGTAAAGCATTATCACACACTTGTCAGTTTTAAAATGTTTTACCTTTAGTAAGAGTGCTTAATTATAAATATTAATAAATGGTGCTTAGCCTTCAAAAATGACTAATCTACAAATTTTTAAAACCTGCCTGAAATATGTAAGAAGTAACATCCAGAACCTCACCCAGGAACAGTAGTATAACTTTTATTTTTTGAATTAAATTAAGTACATCTTGATTTTATTTTTTCCACTGCAACTGAGTAAGTTCTTAAGACACTTGTCATAGTTATTCATTTTATTAGTTTTTGTTTGTAAATAACTATCTGTTGTATATAAATAGTTTAAATAAAAACCATGTTAATGCTAAAAGTTCTAAAAAATATAAAGCCAGAGAAAGTACCTATTGTGAAATTGATTTTTAGCTAAACATTGGAGAGTTTCTTTGTACTTCAAGAATAATTATTGATAACTATGAGGAACCTGCACTTGAGCTAACTTAAATCTGATTTCTATGAAATTAACTGACTCGTATTGATTCATATAGTTTGTCACCCATGTTTTTCATTGATGGCCCATTCCCAGAATAATTATAGCTACGATATCCACAGGTATAGTTCATTATGAAAACTAACAAAGCAATAAATTATTTTATGCTAATTTATATTGGAACTTTAAAAAAAAACAAACTACATTCAGAATCTTTCCTTTGGTACACTCCTGCTAGATGATTACATAAACGTGCTGAACAGTTCACCAGCAACAAAGCATACGGGTTGATAAGTAATTTATGTATGCTTTGAAAGATTGATCACATATCCACCAGTGGAATTTAAACAAGGTTTTCATACTGCTAATGTGCCAAAAATTATGAACTATTACAGAACAATCTTGGATTTTTTGTGATAATGTAGGAGAAAATAACATGTTGTAAAACTATTTCCAATATATGGTGCCTTGAGATCCAGTTGGTGAGCTAGAACTTTATAGAGCACATAGTTTAACAGAACTTGTGTGTAGACAAAGTAGTGGTGTTTTACTTGTATTCATATAGCTGGTGTAGACTGATTAGAAAAACGATTCACCTGATTTGGTTCAACAGCATTGGATGTCTTCTGTGAACACGTGTGATTTATAGAGTAGTAGTTAAAAAAACAAACATCCTTCATGTTCCTTTTGCCATTTTTATTATGGAGTTCATAGAACATTGTTATTGAACTTTTGGTATACTGAGCAGTGGTAACTTGTTAATATAATCAGTTTGTGTATTATGTACAAAAGCAAAGAGCTAAATAAAGATATATTGTAGAAGCAATGTGTGTCCTTTTATCTTGTGATAAATGAGAAATCTTGTGTCAAAGAGTTCTTATGTATACATGGTTTCAAAATGTGAGAGCATATGTTGACAATTACTTGAACAAAATATTGCTGTTTCTGGCAGTTTGGTCAACAGCTGTGGATCTACCTGTTGGTGTTATAAAGTAAATTGACCATGGAATGCAATTCTATATGCAACTAATGTTCCACTACCTTATCAACCTTATTTTGTCATTTCTTTAATCTATAAAAACTTGTGCAGAGAATCGGCTGAAGCTTCCAGTAATATACAGGTGAATGTTAAAATTTGGGTTTTTTTCGTAGGTAATAAATATCCTCCAAACATTAAAGTGTTGTATATGAAGTAGATAAAAAACTTGTATCCATTACAAAAGCATATTTAGTTAAGCTTGTGTAATACACACACACATACATATATAAAAAGACCAAAACTTACCAAACTTACCACAAGCCTGAAATCACAATTCAACCTATCAATACGAAGATATCTACTATCCCACTCAGCCTCTTCTGTCTTCTTATTACTTACCATAATTCAACCTATTGCCTTACTTTAAAGCTTTTATCAAACGTTTAAGAACACTATGTATATATATTTAATTAATGATAGTGTAATATACTATTAAATCTGAAAATTATATAAAAACTATGATACCAAATCTATTAAGGAATTTTAATCCAACAGAATATAAACCCTTCCAGTTTTATAGCAGCTATTCAACACTAATACTCTAGCCTACTCAATATATATATATAGCTAAATTTACTATGATCATTTACCGTTATTTAACAGTGGTTTAATACTATTTTATACATGGTAAGTTTGGTAAGTTTTGGTCTTTTGGTAAGTTCGGTAAGTTTTGGGCTTGTGGTAAGTTTGGTAAGTTCATTATTTTAAGAAACTATAGTGTTCAGTGTTTCAAAGACATGCTAAGAATGTAAAGTAGGTAAGGTTAACTTATGTGTTGTCTTGCTGCTAAAATAAGTTAACTTATTAAATAGGGCTTGTTTTAGTAGTTAATCAACTCATGCTTTACCAATTTTTTTGTTTTTTCTATAAGTTTTGTAAAGTTTCCTTACTCTTGTGGTACATCATCTTGATAGCAAGCTGACACTTTGGTTAAAGTAAAGCTTGCTTGTAATTTCCCACTGATAATGCTCATGGATTTGTTGTTGCTAGGAATTTTATTCATGGGAACTCCCAATATGAATGTATTTGGGTTTACTAACGATACGATAAATATCATATTTCTACTTCTTTGTTATTAGTAACAGAAATCTCGGGTATAAAATGACTAATTAGTTTTATCACTTATGTATAATTAACCATGTTACATGTGTTGCCCAAATTTTTACTATCTATTTCTTTGCTATGGGGAAGCATTTTAATGTGTAATTTCTTTTTCTTGGATAGTTAACTAGAATAAGGATTTTAAGTTCAACATTGCATTAATTGCATATACTGAACTTAGAATATGTAATGATGAAGTATTCAAGGAATAATTTAGTAACTTTGGCATCTATGGTAGATAGAGAAACAGTTTTGCTATAAAGCCTTTTGTTATAAACATGAAATTGTTCATACAGTTGGGGAAAATAGTGTGAAAAGGGAAAAAAATAATGTAGTTCATTTAATAGTGAGTTTTAAACTAGAAATGTTATGAGTTTGTGTTTGAAAATTTGGAAAATCATTCTTATAATGAGTACCTGTATCACCTTAAATTTTGAGGGAAATATTGTTACACTGTAAAAAAATGTCATGTAACTGATTTGGAAGTTTGGAGATAAAGTAAAATTGAATCTATATTGGCTTTGAGAGGCATGTTAACTTTTAGAAACATGTTTATTTATGCAAGGGTGGATTTGATGTTACTTGGAAAAATATACTTTGATTTAAAGCATTCTCTGTACAATATACAAGTGCTAGTAAAAATTGTGCATAACTGTGAAAAATGTTAAACTTTGAAATGGCTTTCTTGATAAGATGTTAATTGAAATAAATATTCTATATTTGAATAAAAATATTTCTGTCAGAGCTTCGTGATAAATCATAGAAATATTGCTACATGTTAAGTTTAAATAGACATTCCTGAAATACTTTATTGTGTCCTCATAGCTAATGTGTATTTTCATGCAGGGTTAATCTGTCTTTTTAGCAGATATAATAGTAAGACAGTATTGTTAGGTAAGCATGTCTTAATGGTTGGATTTGGTAACATAAAGTCAAGAACAGTGCTTTCAGACTCGCATGACTATTCTTGTTGTTGGTAACTTTTTAGGTCTTGTACAAGTGTCATTTGTTAAGTAATTTTTACTAATACTTTCATGGTGAACATGTCCTTGAATTGGGGGTTAAATTTATGAAAACCAGTTTTGACTCTTAGAAGTTCAGTATTTAGTCTTAATTTTTAAATATGAAAGGTAAGTTTATTTTTTTTAAATCCCAAATTTGTCTCAAGCCTACAAGAGGTAACCAGAAAGGTAGTAAATTTATTTTTGTAAAATGAAATCTGAAAGCAGTGTTCATTTCCCAAATCAAAATTAATTATATTGTTCTTATATTATCAGAACTTCAAAATTGTAAGTGGAATTTTGAATTGTTTCAAGGTAAAAAAAAAAAGTAATCAGTTATTGAAAAGAGAATTTGTACTGAGCTAGTAAAAGACCAATTCCTGAAAATCTGATCAAAGAAAAATGTAAGTTTAATATGAGTAGCACTGTCTTGTTTTGTAAGTACAGGTTTTTATAAAGGAAAGAAGGTGAGTATGAAGCTTCTATTTTTAACAACAGTATAGTATATTGAATTTTGAATGTTTCTGTTCAGCTGCATATAAACATGCTGATGGGAAGAAGATTGATGGACGAAGAGTTCTAGTTGATGTCGAAAGAGGTCGCACAGTAAAGGGGTGGCTTCCTCGAAGGCTAGGTAAGGCTATTTAGAATTTTTTAAGCTATAATAATTTATTAATTATATATGGAAATATGATTTCCTTATTTTGCACTAAATACCGTTTGACAAAATGCCACAAAATGTATATAACCTTAACATTTGGAATAGCTCAATGTTTAGATTGTGAGTTAATGTTTAAACTGAAGTGTGTGTGTGTGTGTGTGTATTTCTAGGAGGTGTAATTATTATAAATTAAAATGTAAGTGCTTACTGGCTTTGATTTTTGGTATAAAAGTGAAATACAGTTATGGTAAATATAGCCTTTTTGGGTGTAATTATTAATGTTAACACACATTGTGAATCTTGATGTTATGAGATATTGTGGTTAATTGACAATTGAGCAAAATGTAACATGAGCTGATTAGTAGTCCACATATGCTTTATCAGCTGTAGGTATTAAAGATGAAACAGAAGTTGTGGTCTTGATAAAATTGATCTGATTGTGTTAAGATTACCCATTCAAAAGTACTGAATTCTGATTGTTAAAAAATTCTACAAAACTGAATCCAGTATGTGTGTGTGTGTGTGTGTGTGAAAGGTGAAAATGTTGGTTTTTGGATGAACACATCAGCTATTTAGATTTTTTATTTCAATTTGAAGGTGGTGTTTCTAATACTTGGCAACTATGTTTCTGTTGATAAGGTAAATTCCTGTAATTTAAAATATTTTATTTGGGGATTTACGTATTGTTTTATTTGATTTGATATTTGACTATAATTAAGAAATTCAAGACCAATGTGTTGGGGAGACAGGTGATGCTGAGATATATTTTAACATTTTTCTTTTTCTGCAATAAGAGACACGTTCTAACAATGTTTCCAGGATAACAACAAACAAATTAAACGATAATAAATATTAACAAGCTTTAAATACATTTAAAGAAAATTAGCACATTATATTTGTACATACTATATAAACATCAGTCATGTATATATGTAAATCATGCTAACCTATGTCGTGTGAATATAATCAGCAGAACTGATGTTCAAAACCCTTAAGGTATTCTTTATAAAGCTTGGATAAGGATCCATGTGGGAATAATGTATATGTCACATTCCTTTATTTAACTATTTCCCAGGGAATTATTCTGATTTATTGATATCTATATGTTGCATCTTTATTTCAGGTGCAAGGGATAAAAAAAAATCTTTGATTATCTGTACCTTTCAACTGGGGCCAATTTTTTCACACATGAAGAAAAAAGTTTAGCATGTGTACAAGATTAATCTTTCCTTTCATCTCGTTGAAAATCTACTTGTATGTCAGCTATTGGTTTTTCTAACTTTATTTTTAAATTGCTACATAGTGGGTTCACTTATTGTTTATGGAAGATAATGCATTATCTCTGCTTTACGTCCCATATGGATGTTACATTTATTACGAGTTTATAATTTTTAATTTGATCCCTGAAAGTGCAGTAGAGTGTACAGTTAATATGGATATTACTATTTCACAATAACTCTTGATAGATTATAATGTTTGGAAATGAAGGAATGCAGATATACATTAAAATTCACCTTGTTAACATTTTATTTGTTTCATACCTGTGTGTGTGTGTGGAGGGGGTCGGGGGTCAAAATGAAAACAATTACTCGTTACATTTGGTGTATTCATTTTACTTCATTAACTTTTTACTTTATCATTTCATTTTTAAACTTAAGGTAAGAACATATTATTATTGTATAATAGCACGATCACTGGTGCCTATATATGTTTTATGCAGAGTTGGGCAAGTAATGGAATTTGCTAATTAATTATTCCTACAAGATGGCTAAAAAAATTCTGGGCAGAGCACAGATAAATAGCCCATAGTGTACTGTTGTAGTTAACAACAAATATAATTACAATATTATTACTTGGATAGTTGGAATAACTAAAAGAAAAAAAGTAATAACTGGAAACCTTAATTTTGAACAGTTAATTTTCTTGTGTCTTAAGACTAATAGACTAAACTGAATAAACTTGAATCAATTGCTAGATAGAATAATCAAAACCATTAATAATTGGAAACACTAGATGAATATGTTTGTTGATTTAATTGATTATTTTATATGACATTAATCATTGTAATTGATGCTTGTAGATAATAGTTATTGCACAGTTCTAGTATTGTGTTTGGCTTGAATTTCTTAGTCAAAGTAAATTAGGGACCTGTATGACAGCTCATTTAACTGATAAGTCTAGTATTGTCATAGAACATGCATTCAAGGTTAAATGTACATCTGTGCTTACTGCATAGTTTTGTTTTCTATACAGGAAATGATGCAGAATTTTGCAGATACAGTCTTTTCAATATTTTAAATAATACAAGAGATGGACTAGGGCTATTACATAAAAGATGTTACCCAGATAAGTTTGGTCATTGGAAAATTACTTAATTGTAGTACTAAACTTTACAAAAAAAAACAACAACTTTAATGTGCTTCTCTTAGCAACTGTTGAAGATACACAAGAAAAACATTACTATATTGTTGTTACTTAAGATTTCTTAAATCTGTCCACTTATCAACAAAGGATACATTTTCCTAAATATTTTAATAACTTTTTTTTACCAACTGTATCCACAGAATATTATAATTTAATTTATACTATAAAAGTAATGATATCTGATAACAAACTTCTGTAGTTAATTCAGTGAAATATGCTGTACAAGTCTAAAGTTTACAGTTGTAAACTTAGTCATGTGATCTGTGTACTATTTTTTTAAATACAAAGTTATTTATACCTTGATCTTCCTGACAGTGAAACTAGATTTGTGTAGCAAAATCTAGCTATTCATAATTGATGTGTATTAATACTTGATATAAGTGTTTAATTTAGATATTTGTTGTTGAAATCAGTGTGTTAATAGTAAATGCTTGTTTTGCTGTTATTAATGCAGTTATTTAATGTCTTATAAATATTAATTCATTTATGTGTTGAATATTTCTGAAGCATATGATTTTATTCAATAGGAGGAGGACTAGGGGGTACTAGACGTGGTGGGCCAGATGTCAATGTTAAACACTCGGGAAGGGATGATGGACGAATGGATGAAAAGTATCTGTAAGTCTTAAAATTATTAAACACATTGATTCTATATCATTTAATAGCTATACTTAAAAAAAAGAAAGAAAGAAAAAAAGATTCATTTGAACTTAATATTGTAAGTAATTCTTTTAATGGACTTCTGCTTAAAGATTCTTTCTTCCTGGGATGATGTTTTTGTTTTATAAGCCCTTCTACAAGTGTTAAAGAAATTGTTTGCATGATCATTGATAGTTGTAGAGATCTAAATTTTATGAATCAAATTGGTGGTATGTATGTATTTTTTTCTTTTTTTATGGGAATTTGTTTTTCTTTCAGATTTGAAAGAAGTCGTTTAACTTGCAGATTTTTCTGATCTTGTAGTTAAGATTGGGTATGAATGATGATGATAATATAATGTTTTAATGTGTGGTGAGGAAGTGACTTCATTCTCATGACCAAATGCTGTGTTTTGACTGATTGAGAAAAAAACTGTTCAAACATGCACTTTTTTTTTTTAATAAGCATAACATTTATAGAAGGTCTATTTATAATTTAACATGACGGGATGATTTCCAAATGGATCAAACTTGTTTTACCTGCAGTATGCTGCAAAGGATTAAAAATGTTTACTGTCCTTTTCAGAAGATGTAGACTTGACCTGGCTATTGTCTTAGATAGCTTAAATTTGAGTAATTGGTGATATTTGCTATTTACCATTAAGTACACTTATTATTCTGAAATCTTACAATACTAGTAGTGACCGTGGTGACCGAGAAAGGGAGAGGGAGCGAAGAAGAAGTAGAAGTCGTAGTCGAGAAAGAAGGAAGCGTAGCAGGTATGGCTTTAACTTGTTTTGTTAAATTTAACTTTTACAGTTTTTAGATTTTAACTTCATGTGAAACTTGACATAACTTCATTAATGTTTAAACTTAGGTAATGTGTTTTTTTTGTTGTTGTTGTTTCCAGACCTTTTCACTTAAGAGTAATATATTTTTTAGATACATAATATGTGTACTTGTTTTTATGCTTAAGTTTTTATTTTTCAGTAGAGATATTTTGCTGAAGGTGTAGTGTAGTGACCTGTAAATACAAAGGTGGCAGATAATGTCTTAATATACATCAAGAAATTGGGAACTTTTCTACTGGTTTTAGGGAAATTATTCCTTAACCACTAAATATCTTGCATAAGTGAGAAATACATCTGTTAGGCAATTACTTAACATTTTCATACAGAAGAAGGTAAAACAAGAAAAAAAATACAAATTTTCTATGTCTTTTTGTTACAGAAGCAGAGACCGCTATAAAGACCGTAGGAGGGATAGAGAAAGACCAGCAGAGACTCCTTTAGAAGGAAATAATGAAGTGGTATCTGAAAATGACAAAAGAAAAAGAAGTCGAAGTCGTGAGAGGGATCGCAAGCGTAGACGCAGCCGTAGCCGTGAACGCAAGAAGAGAGAGAAGGAGAGGGAGGGTCGACGTGACAAGGATGGAAGAGTAAAAGTAGAACCTGTTTTGAAACCAGAAATTAGTCAGGATGGGTACTCATCAAGTAGTATGGGTTATGATGGTGGTGACTTTAACTATAATGCTGATTCAGCTTATGATGTTAAGTATAATAATAACAACAACAATAATAATGACAACAATAATGAAGAATTTGCTGAGGAAGGTTTTTAGGAAGAAAAGGAATTTTCCAACACATTCATGTTTCTGTCGAGTGCATCAGGATTAGCTTGAGGAGAACCCCCATCAAGTTTACTTAAGAGTATCACCTTTTCTTAAAGTTCAGGCTAGTTAACACGAGAATCTTTTACATTTAGCTTTATGAAAAAAAAAATCATTGCTTCTTTGTATTAATGATAGCTGATATTACTACAGCGCTCTTTTAAATTAGGCTCAAATGGTCAGGAATGTGTTTTAAATGGTAATGTTTTTGAATTCTTATTGACATGACTGTAGATTCCACAAGAATCTGCCCGAGGTGTTTTTAAAAGTACAATAAACTACTCTTACGTGAAGTGTTTACATTTTTGTTTTACTTGTAGTGTTAATAGTGACAAACTTCAACACCATTGATTTTTGCTAACCATTACATATAGAAACAACTTATTTTATCTAATGCCCAGCCTTGAAGTTTAGGGGGCAATATTACTTCCCAGATGGGTAATATCACAATATAAAGCATTAGGTTAGAAACTGTATCATAAACAATTTTTATTCAAAGACAAATTATTTTAAAGACTGTAGAATTAAAATGAATAAAAGAAGAAACATTAAACTGAGTTTCATTGATACTGCTAACTTTCCTTTCTGCTGTCAGACCTATTAGCTGTTGTTACTATAAGAGGGTTGTTCATGGTATAGCAGCCCATTTTTCTACACGGACATACGGTATGGAAAAATGTTTCTTCTTAAGGGTGATCACAAATTGGGAGTTGTGAGCTGATAGCTCAACTGGTAAGTGTTGATCACTGCATTGTTTTGATAATGCAATATACCAGACTAACGTCTTGGTAATACAGAAATGCAGAGTTTGACTCCTTGATTTATAGGTGCAAATTTCAAACCTAGTAGGGTAACTTGTGCCAGTGTGCTTGTAAAGTGCAAGTACTTTTTATGCACAAGTTAATTCCTTTGTCACAATGCAGTAACTGAATGTAATGTGAGACACAAAAATAGCTGTTTTTGATCTACTTTATTTAAGATGCTTGTTTGACAGTTGTATTTAAAGAAGTTTTGTTGGTGTTATTGATATTCTTCCTACAGTAAGTCTTTCTAATCTTTCTGTTAATAATTCCAAATCATATTAAGACTAGAGATGAACTGAGCAGGAAACTTGTTTCACTAGTTATTTGTATAAACATTTCTTCTCTTTCATATTTCTTTTGTTATGGTAACTATTATGCAGTTTGTATATTTATCCTTTAATAGTTTTTATTTTACAGGTTATATTATGCTTCATTTTGATTTAAAAAAAAAAATTATTAGTTAAAGGATATGGTTCTGTTATCAAGACTTACTTTATTGAATTCTGTATGACATAGGACAGTTGTATTCCAAAATGACCCTAAAAGTCCACATTCAGATAAAAAGAAAGTTGTCTTGGAGAATTTGTAAGCCTAAAATTTAGTTTTTGTCAACACATTTTGTTTTTTTTAATCAAGAAAGGAAACACGAAGCAAATGTCAGCTCTACAGTTGCTAAAGAAATATTTTCTTGCATATTTTATCTGAACAAACTGCAGGTTTCTTTCTCTGATAGTTTTGGTAATTTAATTGAACAGTAATTCTCTTCAAAATGTACTAAGATATTACAATTTATTGTTATCAGTTTCTTTTCCATAAAAAAAAATTGTTGTAGAAAATTACTATGAAAGTTAATAATTACAGACACAACACTTGTTCTGCAGTGACACTTGTCTATACAATGACAAAATTAACTTTTCTATCATTAGCAGATACAGTTTTTTCTGCAATATTTCATATCTTCATCTTATTTATTCCTTTTATTGTAAGAAGATGTTTCCTTCCTAGTTTTGTGTCAATCTGTACATTTCATCACAGTAAATACAATCATTATTAAGAATTATATTTCTCTAGGTAAGCTTTTTTGTACTTTGTAACTCCAGCTTACCCATTGTAATGTATTACAAGATTATTTTTTGTCTCATGTGTAAACAGCTGTGTGCTTTGTCTTCAAATAATATACTTATCTTGATAGTAAGTGTTGGTGTTTTTAGGAGGTGCTGAATTGTTTTTTTTTATACCACAAGGCGTGTTGCAACTTCCTTGAAAACATTACAATAATTGAAATCTACTGGTAGTGTACAACATTCACTTTCACTATTTGGGGGTACAGTGTATCCTTTTTTTACCCTTAGGGTACTAGTAAGATATTGGAAAGTACTGAAAAAAAGTTGATACAACTACACTTACTATAAAAAAATTTAGGCCCCTAGTGTTGTTCATACTAGATGTTCACCAAGGCACTCTGAATAGGTTATGGTATTTTAGACAATTTCAGCCTCTTTCCTTTTAGGGTTTTTGCAACACTAACCACAAATCAAATGGCAGTTTAATGGTTTATAGTAATTGTTAATGAACATTTTTAGAATTAATTGTAAATTGCCTCTTAAATTATGATATGAAACCTCATTTCCTGCACTGGATGGCTAACTTATTTTGCTATGCTTAGCTGACTATGATCGTGAAAATGCTGGCAGACATTGTGATACATTACTTAGATGATCATGTTACCTGTGGTGCAACATTGAAAAAAATATTGAAGATTCTTTTGAAATAGTAGTTCATTGGGTACAAATCTTGAGTGCATGTAGTATTTGGAAAAAGTGTTAGTCATAGTTATTGACTGGAAGTTACCACTGTGTTGCTCTTCAAGGGAGGTGATAAAAATTGTCCCACTAATTATAGGCCTGTTAGTGTTACATCAGTGGTAGGAAAAGTTTTTGAAAGTCTGAAAGAGGCTTTGCAAAGTCATTTAACAAAGATTCTAGGATTTGGTTGGTTTCACTAGGATAACACCTTGCCTTACTAATTTTTTGACATTCTTTGAAGAGGTTACTGTCTATGTAGTGGCTCAGCAGTAAGTCTGAAGGCTTATAATGTTTAAAATCAAGTTTTGATACTTGTGTTGAGCACAGCACAGATAGCCCTTTATGTAGCTTTGTGTTTAACTACAAACAAGCCTTAGTGTGGGAGATTGGTTGACTTACTGGATAGAAAACTGGCTGAATGGAAGAAAATAGAGGGTTGTTATAAATGAAGTTCAGTCAAAGTGGATTACTGTCATAAATATGGTACCTCAGGGCTCAGTGTTAGGACATTTGCTCTTTTTGATTTGCATCAACGAAGTAGATGAAGAAATGGTAAATAAATTATTTAAATTTGCTAAGGATATTAACTTTGTGGGTGTTGCTGATTGTGAGAAGGATTCTGCTGCTTTCCAGCAAACTTGGTGAATTAGATGAGTAAATAGCAGATGACTTATAATTGTAACAAGCATAAGGTAATGCATGTGGGATATAATAATTTGTAATATAAGTATAATTTTGTTGGAAATAACCTCAACAGTGTTATGGAAGGAAAGGATTTTGGTGTTCTAGTTTATCAGTATGCTAAACCATCCAAGCTGTTGCTAGTGGCACGGAAAATGGGATTTTAGGTCTAAAGAGGTTATAATTTCATTGTATAGGTCACTGATTATGCCACATTTGGATTATCATTCAATCTTGGGCTCCTTATCTTAGGAAGTACAGAGAATTGTTGGAAAGGGTTCACAGAAGGGCTACTGGGATGATACCTAGGATATAAAGGTTTTCACACAAGAATAGATTAAGATCTTTGACATTTTCTTTTGAGAAAATGTTTTGAGGGGGGTATGGTTGAAGTGTTTAATACTGTTAAGGGAATTTATAACGATGATGTACCTTTTTTTTTTTTCTTGTGTAATGGTGAGAATGGTAGGACTAGGGACATTCATAAATTTTGGCAGCGTAGGAGTAATCTTCAGCTAAGACAGCTAGATTTTCCCAACAGGGTGGTTGGCCTTTAGAATGGATTGCCTTCATATGTGGTGGATGTATTAAATTTAAGGGAACGCTTGATAAATAGTTGAATGATAAAGGCTGTCTCTGAGTGTTTTTATTTTAAAGTTTATTAGATGGGAAGTTGTAGTTGGTTTTTTGTTGTCCTTAATATTCATTTGTATATATAATATTTTTCTCCAGCACGTACAATGTTTTCACAAAGCGTTATGTTATTTTTCATAATTGAATCATTTGCATTGAAATCGGGTCACATTTTGTTGTGCTTAAAATGTTGACAACCACTGGCTATAAATTTTTCTAGACCAATCGTGACGTAAGTCTTATCGATCGTTCTAGAAACCATGAGAAACTCACTGGTAGTACATAATGGTTAATGGGCTGCATGATGTGCCATTTCTGGATAGTACTTGTTGTTGTGTGTGCACTTAAACATTATTATTTTTTTCTTCTAAATATTTAGTCATTGCTATGGCAACAAGAGGTTGTTTAAACGACCCAAACATATTCTGTTATATTTTTGGTAAATTTGTTGTAAAGAAACAAAGGCGAAATATTACATTATTCGTCAAAAGAGTTTATTACACGTATTTTGGAATTAAACTTTTGGGACCAAGATAAATCTTGGGCTCTGCACAAAGTTTGCACCGTTTTGTGTCGAAGAGTTCAGACAATGGACTAAAAGTAGGAAAAAGTATTTGCCTTTTGGAATTCCAGTGGTCTGGCATGAGCCTAGAAATCGTGGAGATGACTGCCATTTTTGCACATGTAATGTGCAAGGCTACAACACTCGAAATACAAAGGAAATTTCTTATCTGCTATAAGACCTGTAGCTCATGGACCTGATGTACCTATACCTACTCCACCGGAGACTCTTAATACAGTTTTATCTGATGTCAGTAGAAATGATGATAGGGATTGTTTTCAACCTGAAACGTCTGGTGAATCAACTTTTCTCACAAGGTGAACTTAATGATTTGATGAGAGATTTGGGCTTTCCAAAAGGATTATTCGGAGATTTTGGGGTTCAGACTTTGGGCTAAAAACTTGCGTTCTCCAGGGTACAGAAATCACGAGAAAGAGTTTATACCATACTTTTTGCAAGAAAGTTCACTTGTTTATTTCAACAATATTGCAGAATTAAGACCAGTGCTAGGAGCTGCAGTCTATGAACCAATGGAGTGGCGATTGTTCATTGATTCCTCCAAAATAAGTCTAAAAGGCGTTCTCCTTCACAGTGGTAGCATATGTTCCTATTGCTCATTCAGTTCACTTGAAGGAAACGTACGAAAATCTCGAACTTCTTAATACGATCAAATACAAAGAACATAGTTGGCTACTTTGTGGAGACTTAGTCCTTTGTATGTTGTTGGGTCAGCAATCCGGTTATACAAA